GGCCCTTTAGAAAGAAGTAAGCTCTTTTCTTGAAGGTCCCCAGGTCGTATCGGTCTGCAAAAATCGCCGGTGGTAAACTATTCCACAGAGAGGTCGTACGCGGAAGAAAACTCCTTCTGAAACGTACAGTGGTTGTCCGCTAAGCATCCAGACGGTGTGGATGGTATCGGGACGTTTGCCGCGTAGTGCCTTCACGAAATTTGGCGGCTGGGATTAATCCGAACAATTCCTCAGAGCACTCCCTGTGGTATATGCGAAAGAAATTAATAATAATATTATAATTCGTTAGTATTTGAGACTCGTTTTATCTATGAGGTGTGTCTACCTCATAGATAAAACGAGGATTAACATTATGGTGATGTATTTAATAAACAAAATGATTCATGTTACGGCCTTTGGTACATCTGAATGGCTTCCGACGCCGTGAGGTAGTTACATCATTACTCTGGAATGTTACGCCAATTATGGGACCGGTTGGAAAGCGCGTTTTATTGCTCGCCGGTTTTATAAATATAGACTCCATGAAGACATTTTTCAGCGTTAACACTACGTATAGTGCAGTTTAATTTGCACTTAGCTTGTGCTAAGTGCAAATTAAACTCAGTAAATATCATAGTACGCTAGCAACCCAGGTTCGATCCCGATCGGATTGAAGAAACACATCGTGAGACAATGCTCATGCATCAGACAAAGCTCCATGTTTGAGAAAATGAAAAAATATTTCAGACAAGTGAAGTTCGCCTTACGCATTGAGGCAGCGCGGTAGACATTTTCTTGTCCAAAATCCTTGTCAGAAATTAGATGAGGCCTGTGCCCAGGACTGGGTCGTTTATAGGCTGTAACTTAACTTTACGTAACCTATGTAGTTTATTAACACTAAAATTCCAATTAACAATTTCATTGCTGCCGGCGGGGATCAAACTCAGGTTGGCGTATACAATGAAATTAATGCGAACGTTTAACCGTTGAAATACGATTAAGAAGAAAAGAATATTTGAGTTCATTGGTTATCATTACAGATTCAACTATCTGTAACCTGATTGCATAAATGCATAATTCCTTACTTCAAGCTCCTCGATAGTAAAACTAGTTTTCCGGCGTTAATTGCAAACGTCCTGTACAGAGTGCAACTGAGTGCCGCATATCTAAACACGTCCGTGGCTTTATTATCTCAGACACGTCTTACAGCGTGTAATGTATGCAAATTGTATGTATATTATATATATATATATATATATATATATATATATATATATATGTATATATATATATATATGTGTGTGTGTGTGTGTGTGTGTGTGTGTGTGTGTGTGTGTGCGTGCGTGTGTGCGTGCGTGCGTGCGTGCGTGCGTGCGTGCGTGCGTGCGTGCGTGCGTGCGTGCGTGCGTGCGTGCGTGCGTGCGTGCGTGCGTGCGTGCGTGCGCGTGCGCGTGTGCGTGTGCGTGTGTGTGTGAAATGTTGATGTTGAAAATTTTATAAGACTTCGCGCGGTAAAACTGACAAGTTGTGGCAACACTTTACTGTTACTTATTCAATTAAGGGTCACCACCGACGATTCCAACTCGGCTGGGATGTGTTTGCACTTGAGACAAAATCTCCTTGTCCAATATACGTCGTACAACCAATGCGATTTCCCAATGATTGTACTTACTGTACAGAACTCTAATGGTTTTTTTCCTACAATGGTGGCTGTATGAGGAAGCCCATATTCACTACATTGATGGACTCACACACTACATTGATGGAGAGGGATATACATAGCAGTCACACCTGTCACCCAGAGGGGTAGGACTTACATTTGGCTTAAGGGGAAATATAATCTCAAATGACTTAGCAAGATCCTTCGTTATGCCGAAAATATTGCAGCATTAATTTTGAAATAAATATATGGTAAAGTTGAGGATTAATGTTAAGGATTATGTTAGACGAAAACACGATTTCGTAAAATTTTCTCGATAGAAAAAAAAATCCAAAGTTACCTCCAAAATAAACAATAAACCGCTGTTATTCATAAAATACTTTAAATAAGATCATGAAACTTTGCATACTAACTGAACTAACTATAAAGCAGTGCTTATGTTATTTACCTTTTTTTTAAATACCATTATTTTCACTGTAAAAAGAAATTACCTAAACTATCGGCGTCTTGAAGCTTGATTCCTGCCGCCGTGTTAGTAATTATAATTAGTATCGCCTCGGCTTTTGGAAAGGGAAGTTGTGTCGCTTACGATCAGAATATACATTACGCAACAGGACGACGTAAAATTAAAATGGGAAATAACCGTAATAAAAATAAGAAGCGACTGGCTTGGCATTAAGAAACAGGCATAAATATGATAAACCTAATGAAATAAGTATCTAACGACCTTTCTACTTACAGTATTAGTGATTACAAACATGTCGGTACATAGCATACGACGCGCGGGCAAGATGGGGACGAAATTAGAATTTGAGCTGACTTACTATATCCCCTTAATCCTGACACCTCTCTCGCCTCCTTTACATCCAAGTGCCTACTCATACATGCTCGTCGGTTAATATATGGCCAATTTGGTTGATAACTTCCATTCAAGGCGTCCCTTCCTTATTCTTCCGTTCACTTCTGCAACAAAGACTCTTTCTCTAATCGTTATTTCTATATGACCAACCCATCGACGCATTTCATGTGATATCATATAAGATAATATATAGTTTCGTTCGTTAAAATTCACAAAAATATAAATAATTTATTAAAAACCCAATTAAGACTTGTAATGTCCGCTCATAATCCATTATGTGAAACTAAAAAGTCAAGTAACGCTAAATCTGCATTTTGCGACTTATCTTCAAATGCGAAAAGTTGTTTGTCTGTCTAGTCCTGAGACATTTGCATTGTTTTCTTTTTAGCCGTTCTCAAACACGGAAGAAGTTACTGTTTTGACTATGTATTTCTTTCATTTTGACTATGTGTTTCTTTCATTTTGACTATGTGTTTCTTTCATTTTGACTATGTGCTTCTTTCATTTTCACTATGTGTTTCTTTATGTCAACTACATGTTTTTTTTTGTATTGTTAGATTACGCGATATTTTCTTGTGAATAGGTTTTAATGATTTCTTTTTTTTTATAAAATAGTATACTATGGGGATGATCCAATATAAATTTTGAAAAAGAGTTCCTTAACTATGTAAATAAGCGTGCCTTTTCATAAGCCTCGCTCTGAAATTTTTATCATTAGTTTGTTGCACTGGGTAAGTGGGTATTTGCCAAAATGGTCATTGTTTGCAGACCGATTGGCGATAATGATAAAAAACCCACGGTCATTTTAAGTGATGTTATCCTTCACTCCAATCAATTTTATGATCATAATTTACGACGACAGAAATATATTTTTTAAATATTAAATAAAGAAAACGTGCTTGTATAATGTATACGTAATGTGCTTGCGAAAAGTAATGACTGTATATTACGGAATTCGTGTATAGAATACGGGGCTACGTACTTGCGGGCACTTGCATCGTAAATTCTTGAGTCTACAACTCAAGTGAGCATTCCTGCGGTCAGCGGGCGACGTTGTGGCATGTTTGCACATCTGACGGCTAGCTTTTATGACACACCTTAGAGACTTGTCTTGCTTTGTTCATACTAGAGGCTTACCTTGGCTTATCCATATTAAACTAAGAGTTTATCGTTATTTCTCTTTCTATAATTCTAGTTTTATTTAAATGTTTTATGCTCATTTATCAACATTCATCGTTTTGATTAAGCCGTGAATGTGAGGAAGAAAACTTTATTCAAATATTCATATCATTATCTTTTAGCGCAGACAGATTTTTCAGTCGTCAAATAAAAACTATTCATAGGATAAAATATATTATAAAATATATAATAAAATATAACACAAACAAATTAAACTTGCAGTTCTATGAATAAAAAAGTTAGTTCAATTCTTTCACTTTAGTATTTAAGCAGGTTATAATTTAATTGATGAATAACTTTCATCTGGGGATTGAAAATCGGCCCTTAAGCAAATATGTTTGCTAAAAATTATTATATAAAACGTTATTTACTCTCTTTAGCTCCTCGAGGCGTTTCGTAGAGGCGTTTAACATCGCTTCATAGTATAAAACAGTCGCTATCTATACGCTTAGATCTTTTAAACTACGCAACGGATTTTGATGCGGTTTTATCAATTGACAGAAAAATTCAAGAGGAAGGTTTTAGTTTTAATATATGTTGTGCGAAGTCGGGGCGAATCGCTAGTAATTATATAAATTCTACACCCGAAGTCCAGACCCGCAACAATTATATAAAATGATATAATTTATATATAAATTATATAATAATTTTCTCAATTAAATCTTAAATTTTCAGTATTGCAATAAAAGTTTGTAGAAGATAGAGAAATTTGCAGTACAGTAATAAATTGTTATGAATTCGCAAATGAAAGGTTTCTTTGAATATCAAAATACTTAAATTTTGAGCGGGTTGAAAAAAGGAGAAGGTTCTCTATATACGAGGCGTACATATGTTTTTTTAAATGTATGTTCACTGATTTTTAAGAAACTGCTCAACCGTAACATAAAAACAAAACATAAACGTAGCATAAAATCAAGTCTTAACACTAACTTCAGAAGCTGTCAAGTGGAAATTATTTTATTGTTTTTGGTTATGTAACCGGGTTTTACCTACGTTAAAAGTTTAATTATATTGTTATAAACAATTAGGTAAACAAAATAGAAGATGGGCTGCTGCCCATCTCCTATTCCCCTTATAAGGTGACTGATGAAGCCTATATCCAATAATGGATTTTGATTAATAACAGATTAATAATAAATCAATGAAAATTATTATATATCGTTTTAAGGCTTCACTGAAAATATAGTCTTAGATGATGCATGGAACCATTACGAAATAAAAAACCTCCTCTTTGATTTTGAAAAATATATTTGCTATGTACTAGGAAATCATATTTACAAAGATGTCATTGTTCGCCAGGTGGCATCGTCATCCGCGGGTGAGATGAGCGAGCGCGAGAGATATCGCGCGCCGCCGCAGCCCGAGCCGCCGCCGCATCGCGTGCGTGCCGCGGACCTCTACCCGCGCGTGAAAACGCACTACGACGAGCCCGGCCTTGATGCCGGCTTCACACCCATATGCGGCGAGTTCGTAAAGGTAAGATACTACTTTCGATTTATATACTCCTGGTACTAGCTGGCTATGGCGCCGCCTCATCAATCTGCGTTGTTTGTGGCACACATTCCATCTTTGCATCTCAAAATTGTGTGAATGGTTGTTAGGCTTCGGAGCGCATACAAAATTATTCGTCCATTCGAAACAGCTTTTCGATCACTGTCAGTTGTTATTAATAAGATAGGTGTATGTCGATTTGCACCAATCTTGATTAACTCTCAATTCACACGGACCCGACGCTGCTTACCTATTCGTGTTACTGTGGGCCAATGCATTAATTAATGGTTTTTGTGTCCGGTCAATAATCAATATGACGGAAATATTAAAAATATGAAAGTGCTGCGGACATTCGTTAAACCCTTTTGTCTATAGCGGCATTCGTCATTCGTTTTCCAAAGAAGTCCACAGTTTTGCGTTTTTGTCTATATCGTTGCGTTTAACAACTGTCTTTATTAACAAACCATCACCTTCACCGGGCACAATTTCAAGCAGACATTCACAAAATTCTGGTACATCCAGAGCCCTAACGCACAAGACACTACATCATCTGGAATCTGCACCGAAAATATGTGCACTTTACTGTACCCAACGTGTACAGCGCAAAAGGCGCCTTTCTCACAGTCTTCAAATATGGGCATAAAATTGTTTATTATAAAATAACTAATTGACACGCCAAGTTTACCTGGGTAGGGTCTATTAATGTGGAAACATTTATATATTTTTTTAATAATCATCAGTGACAATATATTTAAATAATTATTCCATTTCACAAAAGAAAAGATTGTAATAGAACATGATACGATTTCTGATAATAACAAAGTAATTATTATATTTTATTTATAACTAAGCGAACCGCCGCAGTTTTGGGTAGGATTTGATTTTTTTAATCAATTTTTCCTTTAGTCAAAAAAATCTACAAATTATCATCGGAAAGTATTCGTTTCAATGCCTACTGCATTCTTAACATTTTAGTGATGAAGAACCATTTGACTAAACTTCAAAAATTAGTTTTACGCATAATATCAACTGTGGTAAGGTTGATGCGTAAGACTTTTCTATATTAAACAAAACACATCCGAAATGAATGTGTGACATCATTGTGCGCCAATCTTATTTTAATGTAAACTCAATGTAGTCAAGGTGGTATTTGTAAACCGACCATCATCTCCAAAAATGTAGTAAGTACACAATATTAGGGAGAAATATATGATGCCTTCGCGGTCAACTTTGGATGCCTTCAGGGTTACCACCATTGGTCCTCGGACTACCGGTTAAGAACCCACTGTTTTAATGGCATATTCAGCTCAACATAAGGCAGTTATTTCGATATTATAGAACATTGACAGACACTTCTTTTATATGTATAGATTTTATTGCTAATATCTTCAATTAAACATAATTAATTGAAACTACGTAAATTTATGCTATTTTCGTATTTAGTTATGTTTTTTTATAGAATAAGGGTGACAAACGAGCACGCAGTCCACCTGATGGTAATTGGATGCTGTGGCCCATAGACATCTACATTTATCTTCAATTAAGAATCAAATAGCAGATGCGTTGCCAGCTCTGAGGACTGAGGTGGAATGCCTCGTTTCCATTAAAAAGGGTCTCCGGTTCTCTACACTCACTGCTGCTGTTTTACGCTGGTATTCTGTGAGAGCGTGGTCCTACCCCGGTCGAGCCGACCCATTCGAGCTGCAACTATAATATAGCTGCATGGTTCTACCACGTAAATAATATCTAATATAGGAGTAATTACGTTAATTCAACATTACAGTTAATTCAATCGGTTAAATCGTCTAAAATCAGTTAATTAAATTAATGTAGTCCAAATTAATGTAGAGGTCCTCAGGTTCTTGATGGACGTATGGTCGTACTAAGGCCTATAGCCTTAGTACGACCTTATGTCCATCAAGAAAATAAAATGCCTTGTTTTCGCTTTCTATACATACTTTAATATAAGTAAATTATTGGACTAGGGCTGTACTAATTGTTATTATGTAAAATGTCATTGTATCAATAAATTCAGTTTATAAAATATTTTCAATTCATGTTTAGTGTAAATAGAAGCAAGTAAAGAATTATACTTTTCATTTTTGTCAGTTTCAATTTTTTTTTTCTCCAAAGCGTTACGCATTACGAGCCCGAACGTTCTTAAAAACAATTAAGTATGGGAAATAGAGTTCTTTACGCCAGTAATTGGAAACAACAATGTATTCAAATGTTTTGTACTTAATTATTTAATTATATAATCGGGCTTTGAAATAACGTTGGTTGTTGAGAATTATATACAGTGTGAGTCTTTATAAAGTGCACATATCAAAACCAGGGAAACTACACATAATTTCATCGAAGGAAAAATTGTTAAAAAAATTATAAAGAATTATTTTATTTTTTATGAATATATTAATATTTGAAATTGCAGCTGCTATTTAAATAAATTGTTATAACTTTTAAACTGAATGTTCTATCAAAATAGAATAATTTTTTAAATGATTTTTAATGATAAGCCGTGCCAATAAAGTAAAAATTTCAAAAAAAAATGAACGTCATAAAATTAGAATAAAGAGGTTTTTGGTGAAAATCTGGTATTTTTTTCATCATTTTTACAATAACTTTAAAATTTGTCCAAAAATCGTCCTCTTAATCCAACTTTTTTTTAATCTTATATTATTCTACATCGTATTAGCTTTCTAATGGTAAAAAATGCACGTAATTACTCAAATGAAACCATTTCCAAGAGTGATTGAAAAAGCCCTTGCGTTTGCGCATCGTCACGGTAATTTTATATCGTTTAGCTACGCACCCGCCATTTTTTATCAGGCAGGTAGAGACCCTTTTTTGGGTGAGTCGTTGTTTTAATAAATAATAAAGGATTTATGTAGATAAAATCTAGTTTTATTCCTAAAAATGTAGTTCTCTCTACCTGCTACGGTGCATAACTGTTCAGTTATGTAAAAGTAAAAAAGTAAAGTTACAGCCTACATACGTCCCACTGCTGGGCACAGGCCTCCCCTCATTTCTGAGAGGGTTTTCTAGGACAAGGAAGTGTCCGCCGCGCTGCCCCAATGCGTGTTGGCGAACTTCACATGTCTTCGAAATATTTTTTTTCTCTTATTCCTCAGACATGCAGGTTTCCTCACGATGTTTTCCTTCACCGCCGAGCACGTGGTAAATCAGCACTTAAAATTGCAATTAACAATTTCATTGGTGCCGGCGGGAATCGAACCCAAATTACTCGCGTTCTGTTATATTTACAGCGAGCGTTAACCATCTGAGCTACCACAGCTCTTCAGTTATGTGCTTTTTTTAAAATGCTAATTAATAAAGTTGTACCTATCTGAGTAATAAACGTGAATTTTTTGCCATTAGAAAGCTAATATGATGCAGAATAACATAAGATTAAAAAAAGAAGGATTAAGGGGACGATTTTTCGAGAAATTTTAAAGTTATTGTAAAAATGATGAAAAAAAACCCCAGATTTTCATCAAAAACCTCTTTATTCTAATTTTATGACGTTCATTTTTTTTGCAAATTTTTACTTTATTGGCACGGCTTATTATTAACAATCATTTAAAAATTTAATCCACTTTGATAGGACATTCAGTTTAAAAGTTATAACAATTTATTTAAATAGGGTTAGCAGCTGAAATTTCAAATTTTAAAATATTCATAAAAAAATAAATAATTTTTTTTATAATTTTTCCGTCACTGAAATTATGTGTTTCCCTGGTTTTGATATGTGCACTTTATAAAGACTCACACTGCGCACTCGCATAGCGCATTCATATTATGACATTATTAGCGGTATTGATATTTTTACTGCCTCACAATAATTTTTGTGCTTTAAAAATATATTAACAATAAATAACAAGATTATATAGAAAGATGCCCATTTTTCACCTGAGTATGTATAGAAATGAAATAAATATTAAAATTTAGCTTATTGAAATTAATTCCGCTATATGTTAAAAGAAACGCAGGAAAAAATATTTCTTAAGCTTATTCTACGTCAAGGGTAAACATATTACTATATTTTGAACGCATCTCAACTACCCTTTTTCTAGGACGTTCCATTTTACACACTGTTACTTTACTTTACATTATTCAACTCTGTTTCTGAGTTTTATACATTATTTTATGTTTCGTTTAATCAGTAAGTATTTCTTTACGAGTTTGTATGGTACATAATAATTAAAAATAATATAGTAATTAAATAACATCGACAATCATCGAGAGTAAGCGGTGACTTAGGTGCAGTTGGTTTCAAGGAATTCACGAAGTAAAAAAGATGTTTTAGACCATAGCTAGAAAAGTATTCTCCTATCTTAACTTCGAGCGTTAATAATAAGTTCTAGCACATTTATTTCTTTATTACTTATTTTGTAACGATAAATCCTAACCTTAAAAGTTACATTAATATTTTTTGGGCTTCGTAGCGATCGTAAAAATGACTATATGACATTATTTTCTAAACTTACATGTAGTTTTTTAACTATACCTTATTATATTATATATACTACATAAACATATATACATAAACTTTCGCTTCAGGTTTTTTAAATATATGGAAAGTGGGCATGAGTCTTTAATATTTAATTCGTGCAAGATTTTTTTATTGTTCAATGGTTTTTTGTCGTAGTAACTCTTTTCTCTTCAAATGGTTACAAGTAACCATTTCAATCAAATCAAAACATTTATACTAATATTTTGTATACGGTGTTGAATGTACATATACTATACTCTTTTTTTAATACTTTTATAAATATCTTCGTACATTGTTCGTATATCTTAATAAATAAAATTAAAATTAAATAAGAATGTCAGTTAAAATTAGAATCGATAACATTTTTACATTTCCGAGCGTTACCTTGCACGCGTAATTCATTATAATTGATTTTTATGCATTCCAATGTTCAAGTAATCGATTTAATTAACTGTAATGTTGAATGAACGTAATTACTCCTGTATTAGATTTTATTTGGAATACTTTTATGTGGTGGAATCGGTATATATTATTAATATATCCCGATTCCACCGTATATAGGCTACATTTATGTATGTTTTATTGGTGTTCAGTGACATTAAACCTCCCTTAATGCGACCCTCAAACCCCCCAACAAATCAAAATCATATTCGTGAAATTCTCAGACAAAAACCTTTGTTTACAGACTAACACAAATAAGTTTTCCATAATTCATACATAAACACTCACTCCTGTCACCCAGAGGGGTAGGCAGAGACTACAGACTTCCATTTAGCACGATCCTGACATACCTTTCTCGCCTCTTCCACATCCATATACCCACGCATACATGCTCGTCGGTTAAGGGTACTCTTAATTTGGCCCATTTTTAGTATATCGCCAATTTGGTCGACAAAAAAAAGGTAAGGTTTCCTTTTGCTGAATTTGGCACGAAATCACAGAACTCGAATAAAAACTAATTCTGACAAAGAATAGTTAAAGTAAAATTCATCATCAGTCTATTAGTGATCGTTATCTTAACCATTTACAGCAAAACATTACGTAAGTATTTTTTATGAAATCCACGCTGGAACAGTTTCCCTGTCGGCAACCCTATATGTCGCACATATTTAAACAGTACCACTGTTAAGGAAAACGGCTGATGGCCCAAAAGGTCAGCGGGTTGAATGCATCGAGTTGAACGAACTTTGGCGGTGCGATAAGAGCATTTAGTATGCCAGTAACTGGACCTTATCAATGACGAGTATTCAAATTTGTAGATTGAAACGCAAGGAATTTATGTCAGCTCAGTGATGTACATGTACACTGTTCAAGTATGTAACTTGCTGATGTTATATATCAACATCTATGTTATATATATACATACATACATATAAATAAAATTTAAGTGATTTTTAATTTTTAATTTTTTCTTCTTTCATTATCTTAAATCTAAATAACACCGCATTGATCCTTATATCCAGGTTTTTAATAAATCACTAATGGCATGTGAAGTTTGCGAGTCGCCAGACTACCTTACCTGATAAAATTAAAAACGCAAATGTGTTTAAAAAATTAAACAATTCATTGCATGCATCTGACGTTCAACGTTTGTAATTTGATTAACACCGCATTGATCCTTATATCCAGGTTTTTAATAAATCACTAATGGCATGTGAAGTTTGCGAGTCGCCAGACTACCTTACCTGATAAAATTAAAAACGCAAATGTGTTTAAAAAATTAAACAATTCATTGCATGCATCTGACGTTTAACGTTTGTAATTTGATTTTTAAAAAATCTGAAAGCCGAAAAATCTACAATAACTGCTGAAAGTATTACAGCGATTACATAGATGAACTTAAATTATAATGTTTAAAGTACCATTCCTTAAACCTTTGCTACCAGGTTTTTCTATTTAGTTAAAGTAATATATTATACTCAATGACTATATTGATCTACATAATATTATAATATATATCCATCTACTGGACACTAGACAGTATTCGATAATCCTAAAATATCGTTTATCACCAGCGATTTTCCGGACCGATACGTCTTAGGGACCTAAAGCCGGCATCGGACCTGGAATTCCCCTGCAGTTGCAGTTATCCAGGCGGTCGGCATTTACCATCAGGTGAACAGCGTTGTCATTAACCTCCTTTTCCAGAGGTTTTCTAGGATTTTAACACTTCTGTTTTTCTTAAAATACTGTTGTTGAATTTTTATTTTTGAGTTATTGATTAACTTATTTCTTGGCAATTCATAATATAGCAGCTTAAGGGGAAATAGGGGCATATGCTACCTCAAATGGCTTAGCAAGATCCTCCGTTATGCCGAAAATATTGCAGCATTAATTTTGAAATAAATATATGGTAAAGTTGAGGATTATTGTTAAGTATATTATGTTAGACGAAAACACGATTCCTAAAGAAAAAAAAAATCCAAGGTTACCTCCATACCGAACAATATACCGCTGGTATTCATAAAATACTTTAAATTAGATCATGAAACTTTGCACACTAACTGAACTAACTATAAAGCAGGGAAATTAGAATTTGAGCTGAGGTAGTATAGGCCCTTAATGCTGCTGTGTTTAGTGTCGTGAGTGTAGAGAACCGGAGACCATTTTTACTGGAAACGAGGCATTCCATCTTAGCCTTCATGGGTGACAACGCATCTGCATTTTGATTTTTAATCGAGAATAAATGTAGATATTTATGGGCCACAGCATCCAATTACTGTCAGATGGAATGTGTGCTCGTTTGGTACCTTTATTCTAATAAAAAATCAAAATATTTAAACATCTTCCCGACGACGTCATAGTGCCGGCATAATAACAGAAACCACTAACTCAAATGACTCAAGGGAAATGAAAAGAGTAATGTCCAGCAACATCTTCCCAATAGCAACTACAAATAATAAACAATAGGTGTGCTTATGACCACACGGCAGAGGTGAAAACTTACGTAATTATAAAAACGTAATTATTTAAAAGTTGCACTCCCTGTCAGTCAGTAAACGTGGCTGATGACGACTGGAGGCGATTATACACTAACACGATTCAGTGCGTCACCGAGCCGAGCGCGCTTGATGTCGAGTGGAACCAAATAAACCCGATTCAGCGTCACCGCGCCGAGCGTGAGGGTTCACTTTCACTCATTGTACTGAAATAACACGCCTAAAGAAACTGCCAAGCGTGCTACTATGACAATTATCCCCCAATCACAATCTGAGACAATCTGTAGGGGTGACCTATTTTTTCTGCTGTGGACTTTTTGATAGGCCGTAATTAATGAACGAACGAATAAAATTTTTTGCCAGTGTTGGGAATTATCTATTGTGGTAAAACCACTACTCCGCAGTTTTTTTTGAATATTTTTTCAACAAGTTAATCAATCAAACCATTCAACCAAATTCATTTATATGCATAATACAGGTATAAAAATTTAAATATGTACACTGTATTATTACCTCATGAGGTGTGCAAATGCACTACAATATTAGACTACGCATTACTAATTCAATACCTAATGGTGCTTTGAAATAAAATTAAGAATAAGAAGAAAAAATCAGAAAAATATTATGAATATAGTATGTGCCAAATCGATTGAGAAAAACGGACAAAGACCTTTCGGTCCTTTAACCTGGGTTTACTAACCTATATTTATTTTGTACTTTCTATATTTATAATAATTGTTTTTATTTTTTTTATAATGATTGATATAATATATATTTATTAACTATTATTAAAAAGTTATGTAAAAGATCGCTGTAGAAGAAAAATCATCAATTATTATAAAGTACTTTATTCATTTAACAACGAAAAGCATTAATTTATAACACATATAAGGATTCGAGTGATAACGACACCGAATAAGTGCGTACTTATTCAAAAGATAAAACTTTATTTTCAATATTATAATTTTGATAATACGTGCCTTCAAATTTAAAATATTATCATACTAATTAAATGTCAAAATTATAATTTATTATACTAATCTTATCCAATTATTAAATTATTACAATGTGTCACATATATTAGGCAAATGTATGTACTATTATTCAATTATAATTAAATTCAAATTAAATAAAAACTAATGTTATTAAATTATAATACTTTCATCCTCTAGGTACTCTTTGACATTATAATAACATTTATTAATCAGAAATTTCTATAATATAGTCTTAAATCGTGAAATAGGCAACTTTTTGTTGTGAATCAGTGATGCCATACAAAGAGTGCTTTTATTGAGTAGTGCTGTATCATCTCTATGTGGTATTTCTATGTCTAATCTTTTTTTTGTCACGTAATTGTCTATAGTATCTTTTAAAAGCAGTCTTGTAAAAGTTTGGATTTGATTTCAGAAATAGATTTATTTCGTAGATATATATCGAAGGCAATGTCAGAATTTTTAAGTGTTTAAAGTATGGTTGACAGCTTGTAATATTATCCAGATTGCACATTGCTCTGATGCATTTCTTCTCAACTTTGAATGCAAATTCCTTATTTACCGAGTTGTCCCAAAATATCTGGTTAATTTATGTCACAAATAAAGTATATTTTTGAATAAATAAATTATAACATGTATAACACCTAAAATCCATTATTATTTTTATTGATAACAAACAACACGTACTATTTCAATTTAATTAGTTTATAAAGTAAATAAAAACGCGTGTAAAAAAGTTAACAGGAAAAGTATGAGGTTAAATATAGCAAACAAACAAAAAAACCAAAACGGACAAAAGCCCTAAATTATCTTAAGTTAAGCGTTCTTAAAGGGAGGTTAAAACTAATTTACCACTGAAAAAACCACCCTTATTCCCTAATTATATTAATAAACTGTATTTAGTTTTTAATAAAAATAAATATTTGGTTTTCGAATACTAGGAGTGAATAAACACGAGGCAGTTTCTTCGCAGTGGTTGGTGGGGCCGCAAGGCGGATAATATAATCATCCCTATTTTCTGCGTAGGCCGTTGCTGGTTTCTGTTGTATTTTTAACAGTGAAACGCTTACGAATACCAGGAGTGAATGACCATAAGGTGCTCTCTTCGCAGTGGGTGGGGCGCACGGCGGATGGCGGCACGATCGCGATGTCGACGTACCGGCTGCACCTGCAGCCTCGCCGCCGCGAGAGCGCCGGCGCCTCCGTGCCGCTGCGGCTCATCGACGCGCTCGAGATTTGCGACCTGCTATGCCTGCTAATACTCTGCAAACACGGCCGCCAGCTCAAGTGAGTCCATTGCTTATTTTGAATTATTTAAGTTAAGCTAATTGTTAATAGAAGTATTTTACTCGGTAGACCCACGTTACATATTATGGTTGTACATGAATGGGTCGGCTCGACCGAGGAAGGATCACGCTCTCACATAATACCTACACAAAAACGTGACAACGTATCTGTTTTTTGTTTCTTAATCGAGGATAGATGTAAGATGTCTATGGGCCCCAGCATCAACATCCACTTACCATTAGGTAGACTGTGTGTTCTTTGTCACACTTATTCTATGAAAAAAAACTGTTGTAGGACTGCACGTCAAGCTTCTTAGCTTCACAACACACAAAATTGTATGCTTTAACAATAAATCTTAGAAAATATACGAAATTTGACTTGCTTAAAGCACAGAATAAATAATAAATCAGTGAAGTGCTTAAAGTTCAAAAACTTTATTAAGTAAATTTGTATACAAAGGGTAATTATAATATTAAGGAATCGGAATCAGGTGATTGTTGCTACCAAGCTATTTCTAATTTGTTTTGTTACAAACATGATTGTAAGCCGTTATTTGTAAAAAGTCTCTCTGGGTTTCTTGCTGGTTCTTCCCAGGATAGAGGTTTTCCCCCTGTACGAGTATTAATTAATCAAAGGAGTGATTTTCATTAAGTATTATTTATGATCTATATTGAATAAAAAAGTTTCTGTTTCTATTATGAAATAAAGTCATAAAATTAATATGAGTCATATACTTGATCATGCAAAAAAATATTATAAGTGTTCCTAAATGTGTAGTAATAATAATAATATCTTCCAGACATAATTTTGCTCACAGCGGCCAGTCTCTATGGAGACTAGCCATCAGTGCAAGATAAGATTATAGTGCACAAGTGTGTGCGCAAACACAGGGGGACACTCTATTTCCTCACTCTCATAGTCCGATGGATTGGAAAGCCGACACGACCGGAGAGAGATCAAGCGCAGGCCCAACAGCTTTACTTGCTTTCCGAGACACGGAGATCTGACTCCGGACTGCTACTGAGGCAGAAAGACCCAATAATTGATTTTAGGACATCCCGGGATTCGAACCCGGGACCTCATGATCAGCTATCGTGTCTACGACCGCTAGACCATCAAAGCAATCAGTCGATTAGATATGTGTAGGAAATATGAACAGTGTTCATATCGAACGTGAATGGAATTACGTTTTGTCATACAAAGTCACTCGAAGTCGATTCGAATACCATACGATATGGCTCAATATATTCTTGCTAAGCGGTAATCAAACAACGGACGTTTAGCTTTTAGGTTTACACTCTCACAATCTCCAAATATTTGGTAAACCTCTAATAATCATTTGAGCAGAATATTATGTTACAATGAATGTCCGATTCCTATATATCTAAGAAACGTCTCGTTATCCTTGACGGTCCGTTTTATTACATACGAGGTGCATGTAAAAACAGTTTATATTACAAACTATTCATTCATCCATTTAAGATGACTTAAGGGGAAATAGGGGTTATGCTACCTTAAATGGCTTAGCAAGATCCTCCGTTATGCCGAAAATATTGCAGCATTAATTTTGAAATAAATATAGAGGATTAATGTTAAGTACTATGTAAGACGAAAACACGATTCCGTAAAATTTTCTCGATAGAAAGAAAATCCAAAATTACCTCCAAACTGAACAATAAACCACTGGTATTCACAAAATACTTTAAATTAGATCATGAAACTTTGCATACTAACTGAACTAACTATAAAGCAGGGCTTATGTTTTTTTTTAAATTACCATTATTTTCACTGTAAAAATAAATTACCTAAACTATCGGCGTCCTGAACCTCCCTGCCGTCTCGCTTCGGCTTTCGAACGGGAAAGCTGTGTCGCTTACGATCAGTGTGCCTAGTGTGAGTTTTTTTACGCGTTGATAGCGATAAAGTTAACTACGATTTGTATGGAATAAATAAAGCGCCAACTAGTGACAATAATTTGAAACATAATTCCTGAGTGCGAGTTTACTACGTGTTTGATATTGACCATCGAACATTGGGTGCGTTTGGCAGAAAAAAGCGCTAGCAAGCGCTTACAAGCGCTGAAATAGTTTTCGGCCAGGACACGATTGCTACTTTAGTAGCGCTGACACAATCCGCCATTTTGCTTATTTAATTTGTTTGTTTTGAAGTAGAGTTTATAAGTTTTTTTGTGCAATATTAGTTTTAAGTAATATAATGGCATGAAGTTTTTAATATGAATACTTTACAAACATATATTTAAATTAGGTTAGGTTCCCCGCTTAAAACTAACTTCGTGTCCTAGAGGAAAATAGCTACTTACGATTTGACAGCCCTTACCGCTTACGATCGCCATTTTGCTTACAAGCGCTTGCTAGCGCTTTTTTCTGCCAAACGCACCCATTGACTCACATTTGACAGTGAGAATGTTAACGCTCGTGATTGGTTGTTTGAAGTATTTTGCGAGTGCGAGCGACAATTTTGATCGTTCGAGACGTAACTTATGTAAACATTGGGTGCGTTTGGCAGAAAAAAGCGCTAGCAAGCGCTTATAAGCGCTAAAATAGTTTTCGGCCAGGACACGATTCCTACTTCAGTAGCGCTGACACAATCCGCCATTTTGCTTATTTAATTTGTTTGTTTTGAAGTAGAGTTTATAAGTTGTTTTGTGCAATATTAGTTTTAAGTAATATAATGACATGAATAAACATATACATGTTATTAAAAATTCATGATTGGTAAGTTTTTAATATGAATACTTTACAAACATATATTTAAATTAGGTTAGGTTCCCCCGTTAAAACTAACATCGTGTCCTGGAGGAAAATAGCTACTTATGATTTGACAGCGCTTACCGCTTACGATCGCCATTTTGCTTACAAGCGCTTGCTAGCGCTTTTTTTCTGCCAAACGCACCCATTACGCCGCGCCGTCGCGATCGAAAAAGTTTTCACATAGATTTTTACAGTGAGACGGAAGAGTGAGAATAATTGTTGAAGAGTTAATTTTATTTAGTTTTATGTGAACGATGTACAATTACGGTAGGACGTTTCTTTTTCGCTTGGAGGATGTTTGCAGCCGCTAAGGCATAAATAAGTAATAATTATAGATGACTGCTATTATAACGCCAGTGTTGAAGCAAGAGTTTGTGCATATTTTCGTCCGTTGTTACATCCCAACGACAGGCAATTTAAGGATAGATATAGCATTTTCCACAAAAGTGTTCAAGTTTTGTGTAAATAGTGTTTGATAAATCTAAGGGATACCATCTCTATTCATTAATTAAATCAATTCCTTCAAAAAATTTTATACAGACCATTTGATCGCTTGCATAAGACGATGCTTTGTCGAGGCCTTCATGCCGAAAATCCAATAAATTCTAGTCCGCGTTAACTAGTTACAAAACACAAGTATCAAACTTTACTTTACACTAAATAACTTAAATTCCATTTACTGCTCCAAAAATTTCACCATAAAAGCATATTAGAACGAACACATCTTTATGTTTTTTGCTTTTAATTTAAACATTATATTATTAACAATCACGGACAAGTTACTTGTCCGTGTTAACAATTAAATATCTAATTCACAATCGCATTATACTAACAAACTGTCGAGTGCCGAAACTTCTTGTTCAAATTACGAAACATAAACAAATAAGTAATAAAGATATAATAACCACAAATTTGATAGACAGATGCTAATATTAAGACCACTTAATAAAAATGTCATTCAGAATTTGGTTAGTTTATCTCACGAAACGAACATGTTACCAACATAAGAGAAGAAATAAACGCCAATCACGGTGAGAAAACGCGAATCGAAAGGTTAGCTTCGATTGTAACTCGCACTCGCTCGTCTTCGCTTGTCGATACCGACGACGTTAACTCGGTTAACGCGATGGTGAAGTCATTTGATAAATTTTGTGGAACTGGCACTAGGTACACAGAATACACATTACGCAACAGGACGACGTAAAATTAAAATAGGAAATAACCGTAATAAAAATAAGAACGACTGGGTTGGCGTAAAAAGACAGGCATAAATATGATAAACCTAATGAAATAGTATCTAACGACCTATATACTTACGGTGTTAGTGATTACAAACATGTCGGTACATAGTGTACCGGTAACCCGGTGTAAGCAAGAAAACTAATATTGTTTTTTACAATTACCGGCTAGATTTATCTATCATTCGAACCCACGATACAAAAAAATGGACAGTTCACAACAGCCGTATAACAATTCATAACAGCCGTATCCGTAGAAAAGTTCTAGTTTTACCATGTTCACCTTACATGGTGAACTATGACATACATGAGTCACGACAATGCTAGTCATCTTGCAAACAAAGACATGAATATATCTTCCCTTATCTATCATATCTGATAAACCCTAAGTTCGTTTTTACATACTTGTAGCATTGCAACTTAAAGAAGCATTATTCAATAAAAGAAATGAAGATTTTGTATCAAACAATTATAAAGGAATTAAACTAGACAATAAATAACTTAATAGCATAATCATCATTGTAGACTCATCACAGTCAGTAATTAATTCATGGGGCAATATATATAATATTACAAAAAGTCGAAGTAATTATACAAGGTCTCATTATTACCACGATTAAATATTATATTACATAAAACTGTAAAAAAGCGTTATTATAATATAATATAAATGAATATATGGTGTTAATAACCCCTGGGAATGAGGAGAATGGGTCGGCACGACTGTAGAAAGACCACGCTTTTACAGAATACCAGATTAAAATAAAAGCTCCATGCTGCTGTGTTCTATATGGTGAGTGTAAAGATCCGGAGGCACTTTTTTACTGGAATGAGGCTTTTCATATTAGTCCTCAGGAGTGACAACGTATCTGAGTTTTGATTTTAAATCTAAGATAAATATAGATGTCTATGGGTCACAGCATCCACTTACCATCAGATGGACTGTGTGCTCGTTTGTCACCCTTATTCTATAAAAAAACTATATACATAG